GGAGGTGACAAACAGCAGCCGGAAGAGGATGACAGTGATAATGACAACGATGGATGGTCGATGGTCGATAGTGGATAGTAGATGAGAGATAGGTAACTTAACCTCGTGTTTGATATGGTCTGGAAGGTGGTGGTAGGTTGGCGGAGCGACAATCAATAGGGCGGAGAAAATGAGAGAAGAGGCAAAGACAGTATGTGCCAGGCGAGCCCCTGCTTTTGCCTAGACACATGTACCTCCAGGTTCCCCCTAGGGCCCCCATCACCCTGAAACTCACGTCACACGGCCCGAGCCTCCTTCTAGGTAGACTCCAGGCTAGGGGGCGCCTAAATTCCACGCTTGAGTACGACTAACGCGTGATTGCCGGGATTGACCTTTGTCCCCTCCGCCTCGGTGAGCCTTAAAGATACGGGGAGAAAGGCCATCGACCAACATGTATTGCCGACACCAGCTGTTTACGGCTCATCATTCATGGGTATGGTACTCCGGTGCTGATTAAACTCACAGATACATGCGGCGACGCCGTCGTCCAGACCCGCCACTGCCACTGCCCAGACGACATCGTCCCCACGCCCTCTGCCTCCTTGCCTGCGATCGACCGGCTCTGGAGAGATCGCGCCAACCGCCTCCCCGTATCTGACTTGGTCAATGGTCGAAAACAAGGCGCCGCTTTCGAGGATACAGGAATGCTTCCGCGGACACTCTGCCTATCCGAGATGCATGGCCTCCCTGTCCAAGGGTCGGGGGTTTGCGTTGTCCTCACCGCCACTGGCCCAGAAGCCCTGCAAGCCTAACTTTCAGTGGCCCACAACTTGATGGAGCAAACAACGTCCTTGTCCAGCTTCTATGTGTTGGCCATTTCTGGAACAAGCTCACCGATCCTAGTGGCCCAGTCGAGTGCCCTGTTGCCCTTCAAGCCCTTCTCGTAGGATCTGGATTATTCGTCTGAGGCTAGCTTCTCCATAACCACTAATAAGACTGAGTAGGAAAAGTCGCGCGCCAGCCCGACTGCACGTGCTCAGAGCTAGCGCAATGAGAATGTCTTGGCTATTGAGCAGGTGTGGCGCATATCGTCAGATCTCTAGCAGGCTGATTATCCGCGCTTGCACCCTCAACGCGACGATTGGGTCCCCGAAGATCAATGTTGCCCAAAAGCGCAGCGACGAGACATCACTCACGTATCCTGAGATCGGCCTCCGTGATTGGACAAAGCAATTCTTTCGACTCCCTTTTCACCTGACAGATCCACGTAACGTCATCCCAGGTCAACTACGGATTTAGCAGGCCGCTGGAAGCCGGTTTGGCCGCGCCGGGTTTATATTCCTCACACATGGCGTACTCATCTTCGTCGCTGATCTGGGCTTGTGTCAGAAGTGCCAGTAGTTTTCTTGCGCGCAATACTGGAGCCCCTATTAACTTGAACTTTCGATCTTGAACTTTCGATCGACCGTCCTACTCCCGTGTCCTAAAATTAGGCGAGTCTACGGCCGATCCGTCTCTCAGGTCGGCAGATCATGGATTCCGCCTTCTGAAAGTTTCGATTGAAGTATTGCCGAAAGAACACAGGTTAGCTCTAGCTGGGTACCGGCGTTGACGATCTTCTCCATGGGCATACCGGGGCTCGTGGATATGACTTGGATTAAACCTGCGTTTCCAGCTCCAGAAACGAACGCGCGTTGTGCGTCCGGACATGGTTGCCTGCCCAACCCCGAGAGCGAAACGCAGACCGACAAGCTAGGTGTTCCTTACCGAGAATCGTTATGCGAACATCAATGTGGTCCGCGATACGGAGGACTCGGGAACGTAGAGTCAACTTACAGGATGCCCGAGCGGCTTCATACCGGCTACGTTTATCGTCGGCCCCGGGTGAAGAGTCGGGCCATCCGGCCGGACTGAGGTATTGCTTTACCACCTTTTCGAAGTTATTGACGCTGATCCTTGACCTCAGTGATTCGAGTTGTCCCTTTAGTTTGTCATAGGGACTGCCATTTGATGTCGGCTGTGTCTTGGGGATGGAGTCCGGGCCGAAAAGCCCGCGAAATGGAGTGGAAAGAGTGAAGGGTCTCTTCGACCGAGGCTGGTCTGCGCGCACTCTCGTACTTGGCCGCCGCATCCTGGCCTGTCCTCCTCGAAAGCACCTGTGGCCCTGCTGGATATCCATCGAGAAAATTTGTGCAGAGATTGTTGAGCTCATGGTCAGGGGCTGGCTCTGATGTACGCACCCGTAATATCGTACAATAGATGTAGTAGGACTGCCGGTCGTCATGTCTGGAGCTCTTCACATTGTTCATCTCCCCTGGAAGTGTGCCGTGGGAGATAACAAGGGGATGTAGAGGAGGTCGCCTCGGCCAGCCCAGTGGTCAGATGGCCCTACGCAAGTGTCAAGCATTGAACCGATGCCAGATTCTGTACGATTTGGGCAATTCAACGAGCAATGACTAAGGTGATATTATCCCCCACCCGTGAGTTACCCGAGGGCAAGAGAGCTTATTTGGAGAGTGTAGCCACCCTAGCCCACCAGATCTGTTCGCTATAGACTGTTAGTTGGTCTCGATCTCCAAGACGTTGTTGTGCCTTTCAGAGCATGGCACTCCGTCGTTATTCTGCGCGATGAGCTAGGTTATAGGCACGATGTGCGTTCAGCAGTTATTGGGCACTGCTCTCCCGCTTTAACGTAACAGTCGGTGACGTGCTTGCGACGCCGGGCAAGTCGTGATCGTATGTATAATTAATTACTCTTATATGAGTGAGGAGCGCCTGCGAGCGCAATCCCCAGACGCGACAGAAACCACTATCTTCGACACACAATCAACGATAAACGTATTTTATTTTTATTTTTATTTTTATTTTTTTTT